TATATATATATATATATATATATATATATATATATATATATATATATATATTTATATATTATTATATTATATTATTATATTATATATATTCTATAGCAATCTATACCTTCTTCCTCGCTGATTTCTTCTTTTTCGTCTCCGGTTGCTTGGTTTCCCTGCTCTTCGTTTTTCTCGGAGTTGTAGCTGTGTGATTCGCCATCAGGGTCTGAACCCTGACGCTTTTTGCATTCTTCGTGTTCGATTTTGGACGGTTCTGCGGTATTGACGCTCTCTTCGTGGTAATCCTTGCTGGCGGCCTTTTGGGGGCCAGCTGGGGATAAGGTAGGCTTCGGTAACGTTTGTATCGTTGCGTCTCCGGGTGTTGGCAGTGGACAGCCCTGCGATCCAAGAACCCACCAATTAGAGCCGAGACCCTCCCCAGATGAGTCCTGATCCTCCACACTGCTACAACACACAGCAGTATGTCTGCCATACACGCTCGACAAAGAGACAAATATTACTGAAAACACGTGGAGTAGCTCCACCTTATCTGTCAGGAACAGATTGTAGCAATTTCAAGAGGTTTCAGGTGGGATGAATGTTAATCTGGGAATATGATTCACTGACATGAAGTTATTATACATGGCCCAAACAGACTTTTCTGTATACGGGACTAAACTTATAATCATTATTCCCAAATTAAATTTGATATGATGGTGTCAACAGTGTTGACAGAATTTTACGGTTTCACAATATCATCATGTAGTTTTATATAAATAATTATAAATGTACCCTTCTTTGAAGTTCGTCCATTCTTTCTGCAGTTTTCCTCTAGCCTTCTTTGTTGAGTCATGTAAGACAGATTCCATTCCTTCCAAAGAGGTCAGCAATTCGGTCATTTTCCCGAGCAGTTTCAATTCACAGGGATGCGTGGATTCGTTCTGGAATCATTTTGGGAATTTATAGAAGTAATTATAACATCATAACGCTATATCAATTAAATACATACATCGCCTTTAGAGTCAGTATTTAAATCACCACACTTTTGTGACATGGTGGATATAAGATCCCTGAAGGAGCTAACGCTGTCGGCTATAAGTTGAAAATTGGAAACGCTGAGATCGGATAGCATCTCGTTGAAATTTTGCACTTTCTGTTTCCAAACGACTGTGTTTACATTCTTCGTGTCCCTAAGATTGTACCCTTTCTCGCTTTCTTCGTCCATGGAGAAGTCTTCTTCCATCGCTTCTTTCTGCAATCTAGTTCTCAGCTCGCTCAAAGAAAGATCCTTATCGTCGTTCGAGTCTACTTCATCGTCATTTATGCTACTTATAGTCTTTACCGCGTCAACCAAGTTATTTGATTCATGACTTTCTTGGTGCCCGTTTTGTTTGATAACTTCATCCTTAGTACCTTCCACCGCAAGACATTCGTTAGTCCTTTCTGTGATGCTCTTAGTTTCGTTTAATTTTTCATCGTCGGATTTCGACGTGGTTGTTATTTGAAAATCGCTAGAATTTTGATTGCCTATATTTAGACACTTCGCACTGATAATTTCATGTAATTTCTCATCGTCCGTTTTCGATGAATTATTTAGGGACTCGCGTTTATCTATACACTGGTGAACAGGTTCTAAATATTGTTGCGACGAGTCTATTCCTAACTCACCTCCAGAAGATACTGATTCGTCGATTTTATTTTCTACGATTTTGTCCGCCTTTAGGTCACTCAATATATTACTAATAATGTCTATATTACATTTATCTTTGCTACCGCTCGAGAAACCTTTGAACATTTTCTGAGACGACCTTCTGTCGGAGACTGTTCCCATGGAACTACTTGTATCATAACCGCTCGTCGACTTGAAATTTTTACACTGTAATTTATTGGATTCCGCGCTCATTTCCGAGCACTTTGATAAACTTCTCGACCTTTTCCCGTTTATTGTGTCTAAATTAATGTTATTGTTATTACGATTACTATTGTTATTATTACTACAGGTGCTTGTACTACTCAGATTTGTATCTTCATTTATCAAGGAGTCCCTCGCACTATCACTAATACACTTGCAGTTATTCAGATCCTTCCTGCTGCTTTTGTTTACCTTCTTCTTAGACTTTGGAGGTAAACCATTGCTCCACCGTGCCTTTCGTTTTCTCTGTTTGGCTTTATTCCACATTACGTCCTGGTTTGCTAGTTTGTTATCCGAACATAATTTTCCTTCTGTCTTGATAGGCTGGAAGGAAATAACGGTATGAATAAAAACGAATATAATACAGCAGTGAAGTCGAGTAATTTATTTGTAAGAACTAAATACTTTGACTGTGGATAGAATTTTATTGTCCAAACAATGCCTGTAAACTCTCAGATCGGTCTTAAGAAATTGTGGAAAATAAATATATCTTGTTCCATAACGGTCGGTGCCCAGAAGTGTCTCAAACTGGTCCTCCCATGGTTGCTTAGCTACTTCTTCTTGTACAGTTTTTCGAGCATGCTGAAACATTTAGTACCATGAAGTTTAAAAACTGTTCACACTGTTTGAAGTTAAGATATCAATTTGGCGTACCATGACTGTATCACAGACTGTTTTTAGAAGCCAAACTTTCTGTCTGAAACTCAGTTCCTCAAAGTCTTTGCCATTTAACAGAGGAGCATCTGGGAAAACATTCCAGAATTCTGGTTCAACACCAATAGTTTCTAGAACCTAAAAATCTTTGATCATAATTCTTATCATTGTACAATACAATTTTACATTGCAAATTCATATAATACTTATTTAATCACTGCTTTAAGTGGACTAGGTTTTTAGAAATCACAACGTAATAGTGCAACTTACCTTCACAGCATCTCTGCGTTTTCCCTCATAAACCTTGAACCAAGTTTTCATCTTGTAAGCCAAGATGTTTGTCCAGAACTCATACGGCATGGGTGGAATTTTTCTCAATTTTGCTTTAGTGACAGGGGAGCTGAAATTTAAGTTGGAAGAAGCCTTCTTAAATAAGATTGCTTTTTCATTTCTTGAATTTAAATATTTTGTGTATTCCATTACCTCAACAAGGAAGTCATGATGTTTGCCAACTGTTTTGAAGCCCTTGGTATTAATAACATACGTTCCATCTCGTACATAGATAAATGAGGTATGTTCAATGCTTCCCTTGCTAAGTGAAGAAAATGAAATATCTGTGGGATCTGAAATATAAACGATTAGAAAATTATTACAGAGAAAATTACAAAATTATTAAATCATTATTAATACAGAAAATATATTCACCTCCCACATGGATTCCATTTCATTTCTTATTACATCTGGAAAAAAATTCTCCTGCTCCCAATCGACCATCGTCTGCTCCTCCTTCTCCAACTTTCGCTTTCGATTTCTCTTCAACATTTTCTGAAATCGAAACAAGAAATTTTCTAATACAATAATTTGAAAGTTCCTCTTCAATATGATGGTTGTAGCATTTTAAGAACATTTCCAAGAACAGATTAGCGTACTTTGAACGCATGTGAAGCCATCATTAATTAGATAGAATCATGTGCAGTTGAAGAAACTGTTTTCCTTGGCGATATGCAATCATCGTCATCTCCTACGTCGCTATTAATATAAAATAAACAATGATAACCAGGTGAAAGCGCAATGATGTAGAGGCCTTTCAAGCTCTCGATCTATTCAAACGTACAAATAGCTTTCAATTTAACAATTATTCTGCATTTTTTTAAATTTTCTACTCGTTTTCCACGCTTTTAATTCTGTTATTACGCGACGCTAAGGTCGCAGGAGCGCCCAGAGGCTCGATGAAATGTACACAATTGCAAATTGCTTGTTTCAAGAAAAATATTAACTATGGTTCTATTATGCGTGCATCATTGAGTACACTTTCCAGCCATTTTCTGGTACGATATCGAGAATTGGATCGGTGAAATTGCTATAATCGTTGCATCTTCTGTTTTAGTTGGCACCCAAGGTCACGCGAAGGTCATGGTATTAAAGGTGATCGGATTCGTCCGAACCTTGACTATTACATGTTAGAATTTTTATTTATTGTTTTATAATCAACTTATAAACTACAATTTCTATTTTTTGGTGAAATCCTTCCCTTACATTAATTATATTTTCAACAATTCAATTAAAGCGCTTTTATTCCCGGTATCGACTGCTTCGAAACAAGTGAGCTTGAAAATGAAAAAAAATTCAAGTAGCTCGATCGAGGTAAGGCAATATTTGCCATGCAACTATCTGAAGTATTAAGCTATTTGATCAATGGTCACGAAATGCCTTTGACGAACAGTTACGCGGAATTGAGAGCGTTCTCATCGGCCGGTTCGCGGCATGCGGTTCCAATTGCCGCGTTTGCGAAACGATGTGCTTATAATCACCTTTATCGTGACGGAGGATCGTAGAAGCAAGACTGCGCGTGGAATTGACAATTTAAATGGTGTGTACTGTTCGGTCGATCTTGCGTCAACCCTTCCTCTTCCATTAACAAGACAAGGTCACAGAAGGACATAGCCGCGACCTACGCCCATCTTGCAATTCTCTGAACCACATCTCAATCGCAATATTCGCATGATACTTCGTTATGACCCTATCACGTAATTACATCCCTGGCTTTAAACTTTTTCTTTAACCCCTTAACGTGCACGCTCGAGTTAACTCGACGCTAAACTGGCCAAACTGTGCACACACGAGATAATTCGAGCGGCGTTGTACTTTATGTTGCTATAATTTTTCACACTCGAATGCAATAGAGAATTGAAAATAACAATGTGAAAGCAAAAAAAAACCAATCGTTTTATTGATATTTATCATTTACATGGGATTGTAAGCTATAACACTTACTTATTCAAGTATAAAATATATCCTTTTTCTACTTTATCACACTTACGACTTATCTCTTCCTTGTGAGCCGCTTTCCGACAGCGTATTCATATTCAGATTCTGATTCGCTCATTTTTCAATATATATTTTACTAAAATATAATGTAAAATAAAATAAAATAATAATAACAATAATAATAATAATAGTAATATTCTGAAAATTAGAATTGCCATAAAAATTTTGATTATTTTTGTATTTTTGTAATTTTCTTGCCAAGACAACGTTCTAAATTGTGTTTTTTTACATTAAAAAAAATTAATTTTTTTTGGCCAGCCTTTCTAAAAAAAACTGCATTAAGGGGTTAACCGCACACTCTATATTTATAATTACGATTCAGAATATTTTTAACGATGCTCCTCGATAGCGAGTGTTCCACGAATCTTTGATGCCTGAGGAAAGAGCAGAGGTTGATATAGTACTAAGAAGAAAGTGGACAGAAACGTTGACAAATCAAAGATGTATTAGGAGATCCTGTCATATATAAACAATTCTAAACCCTATAATCAAGCACGTGGGAGGTACTTTCAGGTGGGGAACAATAAAAGCAGCCGGCTGTAATTATCGGTGTCATCGCGGGTCGAACACGTATATAGACTCGGGACAAGATGACGTTCCGCCGATGTAATAAAGGATGTCCATGCTATCCTTCGCTCCCAGTTGGTTGACAGGCATCGGTCACCGACGGTTTACAAGGGGACCGACACACTTCTCAGTCACCCTAATTGCGGGGCAATATTTTCTGACCAAACCGAGCAGCAGACTTCGAAGTTCCTTTTGGGAACGGAGTGCAGTGGAATCAGGGAAACGTACGGAGAGGAATTTGTTTGAAGTTATTTCAAATTTTAGAAAACCACGTGTAGATTCTTCGATCTTAGACCCGTTGTCGAATTCGGAGTAATTTGAACCGTTCAGTTGAAAATATTGGAAAGCAGTTATCGATTGCCATTGATCACAGACAATACGTTCTGCATTATTAGTTTTCATTTGAACTGTATTGCAACGGGACAGAAGGCGAGGGTGAGCGAGACAGAATTATCAGGTCGTCAAGTATGAAATTTGTAAAAAAGAAGGCAAAGTTGCTTCATAACTTACAAATATGAGGAATTACTTTATTTATCAAAGTATGCACCCATATTGTCTTGCACTTTTGCCATTTAAGCGGCAGGTTGTTCAGGCCGGTGATATAAAACCCTGGCGTACGAGAGTCAATGAATTCCTGGCAGACCAGTTTTACAGCATTGTCGGAATTAAATTGTTTTCCTATTAAAAAATTGTTCAAATTGTGGAAGAAGTGATAGACAGTGGGGGCTAAGTCTGATGAGTATGGAGGATGATGAAGAAGTTCCAACTCCAATTCCTGTAGTTTTGCCACAGTCATTTGTGCAGTGTGTAATCTAACGTTATCATGCAATAAGATGGGAGTCGATTTGTTGACCAATCTAGGTTGTTTTTCTTTAAGTTTTTGCATCATTTCGTCCAGTTGGTTGCAGTATATTTCTGTTGTGATCGGTGAGCCAGGTTTCATAAAATCATAACGGATCTCACCTGCGCTAGACAGGTGTGATAACCTTTGATTCTGAGCAACCGCGTGGTTCATTTGTGAGGTCAAAATAACCTGTACGAAATTTGGCGAACCAATTTGATACTGTCTGTTGTTTAGTTACACTAGAGCCAAATACACTATTAATGTTTCACGCATCTGTTTCATAATTCCACGTAAGAACTCATACCTCATAATAGTGCGAATTTTCGACCGTTCCATTTTCATCAAAATTAATTTTTAAAAAAGTTTTCAATATTTTTTAGAGCTTAAAATAATTTCCTTAAACAAGCCAGATTTGTTGTATAACTTTCCAAAAAGAAAACAGAACGGTAAAATATTAAGCCAATATCAAATAATAAATTGTTAAAGTTGGCAATATTATTAACTACAAATTTCATCCTTGTCAACCTAATAAATATTAGAAGCTCCTCATTTATAGTGCGAATTTCTTTTCATATCTCTGAAAGATTCTTCATAATTTCCTTCATTTTTTTTACAATTTATAAACTTATTTATAGTATAATGGTTGCGATTATAATTATGTATTTCATTATCCAAAATATGGAAAGCGATTCAGTTATCTTGGTATTCTTGTGAGCTGACTTAATATTTGTAGGCATTTATTAAATCTCGTTTGCAAGTAAAATGGCAAGTTCTTCATCGGTACGTTACAGAGTTTCTTTTATGATAAAGGTACTCGTGAAGTTGAGGATAAGGAAGATCACGAGGTGAGCAATGCCAATCAAATTATACCACCGGGATTACGAAAACAAGGATCAGGAGAACGAGATATCACCGGTCGTTAGTTCTCAGAAGATGACAGACAAGACGACTTTGAACTACCTGAGGACCCACGATCCAAATGCACCGTATTCAATCAACACGGTGCACCTGCAAAATCCTTACAAACCTCCGCAAAGGCTGGAAGGATTTTCAACGCGAGGCAATTCGAAAATACGGCCGGTGTCCGTCAAGGTGCTAGTAATTCATTTTTAACCTTTTAGGTACGGCTGAATTCTGCGCGAGGCTATTTCTCTAGACGCAGCAGAGTTTGATATATACTGTACAGAGTCTGATACTGTATATTCTGTCTGTATATACAGAGTGTCCCAAAAATGTCTCGCAATCCGAAAGTGGCGGGTTCCTCAGGCCATTTGAAGCAACTTTTCCTTTTACAAAAATGTTCTCCGAGGCACCGTTAACGAGTTATTAACGAAAAACAGTGACCAATGAGAGGCGAGACTCAGCTGGCGCGAGGCGATCGAGCCAATGAGCGGAACTAGGCTTCGTGCGCTGGTTGGTTGGGCCGCCTCGCGTCAGCCGTACTCGATTCTTATTGGTCACTGTTTTTCGTTAATAACTCGTTAACAGTGCCTCGGAGAACATTTTTGTAAAGGAAGAAGTTGCTTCAAATGATCCGAGGAACCCGCCATTTCCGGATTGCGAGACATTTTTGGGACACCCTGTAGACTGTTGTAAATCGATGTGAAGACAAAAGAAGTGTGAAGTATGAAGACGATTATTTGGTTCAAACGATGAGCGAGCTACTAGAGCAAGCCACTATAGTGGCGCGTCGTCCAGAGAGATGACATCCGCGAAAGCCGCTATAGTGGCGTGTCGTTCTAAAAGATGATATCTGCGGAAGCCACTATAGTGGCGCGCCGTGCCTAAAAGATTAAAGAAGAATAGTGAATTGATGGGCAATTTTAATTTGAAATTCAATTTTCTTCGAAGATTAAGTATCGATCGAGGGACACGACACTGAGATCGAAACACAGGAAGAGCGGATCGTTGATACGAGACTTTGCTGCAGGGCAACATAGTGGCCGCGACAATGATAAAACTCCTAGGTAATTTAATTGAGACCATTGTCTGATAAAGATGACGACACAGCCAGGACATTCTGATTTGAATGGCAGTGATCACGGTGCCAATGGAACAGTTTCTTGAATTTCTGACTCTGAAAAATACAGTAGAGTATTTGCATCTCTTTTTTATGAGGATAGATTTAGGGACTAATGAATATTCAGGAGACTTTTCTGCATTTATATCATGCAAAAAAAATTTATTTATCGTTCAAAAAAAAAAATGAACGGATGATTTTTATCACCATTCTTATAAGGTACAACGTCAAATTCGACACAAATCATCTGCTCTTTAAATTATGTTTGAACGTAGCGGCAAAACGTTCAAACCGTTAAACAAATTTACCGATAAAGTAAATAAGTATGTGGAACAGCACGGTGACACCATCTGTTATATCCAAAAATGATTCGCAATAATAGTGCTTTTTGCAGATTTGAATGAGTTTTATGCAGTAGGTCCATCTGTGTCGGAATACTAAAACCTCAGAATTATCATCTGCAGATAATTTTGGCGAACAGTTTGAGCATTTTCCCACTACGTGTAATGGCGCTATTTTTATATTTTAAGGCAGTGGTTCTCAATCCTTCTTTTTCACGTATTCTATTTATGACTAGCCCGGTAAGCAATCAGCTGAAACTGTAACAAAGTAGAAGATTTCCCTGAACATTTCTTTACTCCTAACATATTCTTTTAGTCCTTCGTTTATTTTATTTTAAAGTGATAAAAAAGAATCCATTGAGAAACTCTGCTCTGGATGAAGCATGGATACAATACTTCCTTGGGGTATTGTTTTGAATCCAAGAGCAGAGTGAAACCACGTCCACTCGTAGCCACGCCTACCGGTAAGATTGAGATTCTCATCTTTCTCTGAATTGCCTTTATCCCTGGGGCAATCCAGGATTTTCTTAAGACAAAAAGGACAACCATTGCTCGTGCTTTCTCTGGATGCTTGTAAAATACCATTAATCATCAAAGTAATACCGATTGGAAGGTGGCTTTTCTTTTTAAGCGAGAAAACGACGATTCATCTCTCGTGAATGCTTCGATTTTAGGAAAAACGAAAGTATGAAGCAGTGCTTGAAGAATGTAGAGATCAAGGCTGCCTTGGAACAATACTGCGCGAACACTAGCCTTCATGGATTACGTTATGTCGGCGACTCGAACCTGACTATCGGCGAAAGGTATGTAATTATTTGCGCTTGGACTTAACGATATTAAACGATTCTCGTGGTGCACGTTGGGACTCGGGTCTTAAAATGGTGCTAGCCCTATTCCACCGTAAAACACATTGAAATGCTTCCTTGAAAATCGAGAATGCAAAATGTAAATTGGAAAAATTGTGGAACACCATCCGAGTATAGTAACGGAACACCAGACGCTTCAATGATCCAATTGAACCGACTTAGAATTAGTTAATTACATTCTTAGGCATATAATACCGCTTTCGTACGACGCGGTTAACCGACTGCACTGGCACCAGTAGATAGCTCACGCATCTACGCCAGACGACGTGACGGCAATTAACAGATCAGTGTTCTGTTCCTTAACTACTAACCAACTTCTACGGCGAAGTCTGTCGTACGGGAAACTCCGAGGAGATCACCCAATTTTTGAAAATATTTTCTATCCAAGTCCTCTGCCACGAATATTACACAGTCAATATTAATTTATTAATATTTTTCCTCTCTACGACTTCATTTATAAGTTTTTGCATCATAACGTTTGCCTTTCGATAAATATAGTTATAGAAATTGTATTACAGAAATAAATTAAGTAATAATTTATTACTTAATATTATAATTATATTACATATTAAATATGTATTATTAAATTAAGTAATAATTTAATAATAATAATGTTCAAAGTTTCGTATCTTTTCTGAACATTTAAACTAAACAAAAAATAAGCTCCTTATAATCTTGCACAGACTGCATGCAATTTGAATTTCATACATTTCCTGTGTTCAGGATATTCTGGATGATAGCTTTCACTCTTGCGGTTCTGGCCGCCTCGTACTACATATGGATTCTCTATCGGAAATGGGTCTCCACGCCGATCATCATTTCCTTGAGCCCGGAATCAGTAGCTTTGGACGAGTTTCCGTTTCCCTCGGTCACAGTTTGCAACATGAACAACGCGAAAAAAAGCGAGGCAGCGCGCATAAACGCAGGGTAAGATTGGTAATCAAGATTATTTGCTGCGATACAAACAGATCGAATATTATATACAGGAAACGGTGATCGCGAATGAAAACTTGAATGTTAGACAGGACCGTCGTAAGAAGCTCTTGCTGGACGATAGATGTAGCAACACGGAAGCGAACTTTTCAGCTTACGATCTTGATGAAAGCGCAATTACATGGAATAACATGCTGCATTTCACGATCAATGTACGTAACGCATTAATTTGTGCTTTTGTATCTCGCAAGATTAATCACGATAACAAAATATACTCCTCACTTGTTCCTGATCCATGTATGTATATATTGCATTTTGATCCGTGGGGATGTGCCATTGAATATTATATTAGGTGCTTCTATAAGCTGGTCGTTATAGACGTACATTGCGCCATTAGCACAATATTTGTAATTTAAATAAAAACGGAATAAGTGTGTTCAAACATGAGTAGATGTTAAAGTTATGCACTCACTTGTCATGTTTCATTGTCTCACGGTTCACGACTTAATTACGAACTTATTCTAATTAATTTACGACAGGTATCACAGTCCTGTGCAGAAATGTTGCATGTGTGCCAATGGCGTGGGAACATAACCGACTGTGAGAAGCTATTCAACCCTACCCTGACCGACGAGGGAATGTGCTGTAATTTTAACTCTGTCGACAAGAAGTTCCTATTTTACAATGCGTGAGTTGCTGACAAAAACTATTCAACATACAAAGCAACATTCAGTTGATATCGAAGATAAGATGTCCAAAATTACCCTTTATAACGCTGCGGCTAACTTTGGATGTAAGGGGGTGGGGAATGAGGGCGTGGTAGAACGAGAGTGGTGCGTGGGCGTCACCAGAACGCTCAAGTAAATCCACTCAATTTGGATATACAATATTTGGATATACAATTTTCCAAAGTTAATTATGCAAAGTGTAGCAACAGGAGCTTGCATTAAAGTATCTAGGACAAAAGGAACACAACTAAAGCTGCTAATTCTATACTGATACGGATTATCTTACTGCAAGGTTCGGAATTATTGGCACGCAACGCCCAGATCGCCAGGGCTACGCCTCCTGACTCTCGACGCGCGTCTCGCTCCCTATGGTTGCCATAATGCTTGGAGCACCTCAAGTGCGTACCGTAGTGGGCGTAGCCCTCGCAATCTGGTTGTTGCATGTTGATAAGTACGAGCCCTGCCTTGCTATATTAAAAATTTCGATGTGTAGATCGACTGTTCCATTAACTCCTCCTCAACATGAGTTCGTTCCCAACTACCACGCTTTCAGTAAAAGCAACTTCCATGCACGCTCGAGCTGTGAGTGAACTTTGTTGGAAAGTTTCTAGTACCCTCGCCATTCCAGACAGGATTGGCCCGACCTGAACAACACGTTCCCGTTCAATAGTATCGACTGGAACCCCGAAACTGGCTACGAAGGTAATCTCCACACGGAATCTTTGCCATGGAGACCTTACGGGGCTGGACAATTTTATGGTTTGACTTTGGTCCTGGACGCGGATATTGCCGAATATTATTGTTCCTCCACCGCAAGCGTGGGTTTCAAGGTACAATTCTTCCCGTATGTTCGCGAACTACCGAATAGGCTAACAATGATTAGTAGACTATGGATCTTCGTAGCATCTACAAGACTCTTTATATAAATAAAATTTTCACTCACGTTTTAAATAATTTTGTTACAACGTGGGAGCTAATTATACTGAGCACCCCTGTTCTGAAGCCATTATTGTGGTCAGCTACCAGCCTTCCGAACTTCATCAAAACTTTGAAGTGGGGCTGGGAAGCTTTGTGGTCCAATAGTTAGGCGATCCAACCGCATTTAGCCTTCCCGTGTTCCTTACTTTACCCGCATCCATTCTACCATGTGCTAGGTACAAGAAAAGCATGTACAATCGTTTAGAAAACTGTAATCATTGAAGAAAATGAGTTTCAGATGCTGCTGCACAATCCGGTAGAGACTCCGAAGATAGCCGAATACGCGTTTGCTATAACTCCAGGCGAGGAGACTAGAATAATCGTGACGCCCCGGATATCGACCGCCAGCAAGTCGATAATCTCCATTCCCCTGAGGAAGAGGAAATGCTTCTTCACCTCAGAGCGAAAGCTGCGTTACTATAGGACTTACACGCAGAGGAACTGCGTTCTGGAGTGCGAGGCGAACTACACTCAAAAGAACTGCGACTGCGTTCAGTACTACATGCCCAGTAATTTTCAATGAACAATGTATCACATACAGACTCTTTCGTGTTTGAAAGCTTTTATACGTATGAAAGAATGCTTGAAGAGACGCGGTCTAATTGTGGGAGCGCCGAGATGCGCAGCTTCCATAAAAATCTTTCATTGTACGTCTCTATAATCATTTGGGACGGGGTTATGAGAAATGGGGCGGGGCTACTATTACTCCACCTTCGTAAAGCGTCTCTTACATTGTTTCTTCTTGTTTTCAAAGTACTCAAATGTGTTTATTAGTGTTTCATGTATGTATAGAATCCTCTAACACCCCGATCTGTGAGAAAAAAGATGATCCATGCGCGCATGAGACCCGTCTTGCAATGGAGATAAAGCTGTACGATGACGACGGTAGCTTAGGCCCCCTAAACATCACGGGAACGTGAGTAATACCCTCCACATTCCTAGAAATGTTGCAACGAATCGATATACATTGCAGACCGAGTTGCAACTGCTACCCGGGCTGTTTCGAAATTAATTACAACGTGGAGATATCGCAGAGCAAGTTGATGCCCAACATCGACATGGCAGATTTTTTTGTGAAGAAGGATAAGGAATATTTTTCGTAATGTCTCCTGAGATTCACAGATGAGAATTTAGTATTACATCAAGCCACGGTTAACATGTGTTTCTTTTTATAGCAAAAACATGGCAGTGGTTCATTTATTCTTGGTTGAATCGCAGTTCACTAAGTTTGTGAAAAACGAGCTATTTGGATTCACTGAGTTTTTATGTAAGTTTGAAAATATTTCTTCTATCGGTATGATATATTGCTCCAGCCTGTTATACCGATTGGTTACGCCCCATTTCTTTCTCTACCCACACGATGCTACGAAAATCTCCCCACCACTGCCCAGACCCTCCCATCCTGCTCCCACTTTTATTGTATCGTCCCGCCCACTCTGGTATATTGTTTACCTACTATAGAAGTGGCTTTTTTTGTTCACAGCAAGTACCGGTGGTCTCTTAGGACTCTTCATGGGCTTCAGTTTTATGTCACTAGTGGAAATTGGCTACTTTGTTATACTGCGATTCTGGTGCCGCATATTTAAAAATAGTCGAACCTCCCGTACTGTGCTTCACGTGCATCCGTTGAATACTAATAAGAACGTCATTTATCCGTTCGTGCAGTGATGAATTTTTGAATTCTGATTCGATATTTATTAGTAATATTTCAGGGTGCGTAAATTTTTCTTAGAGAACGCTGCAGAAGAGGTACAAAGTTTGAATAGAATCAAAAATTTCTTTAGCTAATAGATTGTAACACCACGAAGTGAAAGTCAATAAAGCACGCGAATATTGTGATTGACCAACTTTTGATGCGCACTGTACAAAGATGTGTTAGGTATGCTGTAACAGTGTGCGATCACGTTACACTCTTTTGGTTTCGAAAGAAGGATACTGAATACGACCATTATCGTTTCAAAATACTAGAAACGTGTAATAAAAAAATACTGCTCCATAAGAGATTGGAGTGTTAGATCGCTTTCTCAGTTTGTACGACGTTTAAATGTACGTAAATCGATGCGACATTTTACTCATTTCAATTTGACATTGTCTTTATCGACATTCTCTTACTCGCTTTATCAGCAAGCATAATTTATTGCATTTCGAAACCAATTCCAGTGTCTTTTCCATAAACAAAGTAAAAAACAGTTGACGAATTTGTGGCAACAATCACACGCAATACTTATGACAACGTTATATTATATAATTAATCGTAAACATTTTTTGAGAATAGTGTAATCAACATTTCAGGACAATTGCGGCACAAAGTAGTTCTAGAAACCGAACTAGATAACACGATGCGTTGCCGCTGCCACAAACAATTACCTACTGTCATCGATAAACAGTATTAGAATTTACATAACAAACTAACAAGGAATTAAATGATCGATGACAGTTACCTGCTTAAATTTAACTGTTACTTCGTCAAATGTTAAAATTTCGATCTGCCAAAACACAAGTAATGCTAGCTCAAGAGTAGTGTCATTGAAGATTGACTTACCGTTGTTGTGGAATTTCCGGTGCAGCGTCAACCATAATCGGGTAACATCCTCGGAAACATTTAGGTGTAATAGCAGATCCTGGCGGTAATTTGACGATCGTTAAGATGGAAAAACACTCGCCTAATCAGGAACTAAACACAGTTCACAGTTCTTCTAGACGCCATGTTTATTCCTGCACGGCACGGGTGTGACTATGTTCACTTACCGCTGAATAATGACTATGTTCACGGCGTGCGTGGGTTTTCTCTTACGCGCATGTGTGCCGTTGCCCGCGAAAATTCAAACGTCCTACCATCAAAAACACATTTCACCAATATACAAAAACATTTACAAAGCTCAAATTCGTTAACGATTCTACGCTTAGGTTGATCATGAACTTTTCTCATTCGTGTATCAAACGCAAAAATAATAAAAGTTAAATAAAACTCACGTGAGTCTTCAAAAATGAAAATGTCCCTTGGACATCATTTATTATTAAACCTAATGTCTGATATAATCGTGCGCTAACTTTTTAATCGGTACGGTTCCCTTATCTAGGTAATAATCAGTATGATACATGTTACATTCAAAATTATAGTTCTAGTTATATTGACAGCAGACTAATCTAAAGTGACAATCGTCCCCACCTACGCGATTCTTCGTACAAAACGGTGTCCGTGTGTAAACGCATTAAGGTTCCTTTCACGATCGTCGCCACGATCGTTTCCTTTTTTTAGATTCGACTCGCAAACGATCTACGGATTGCGACATCCTATTGAAACAGAAACGCTCAATAATCGTTTCCCTTGTTTCTCGTGAACTCGTTTCGAATAAAAAACTCGCGAAAGTCGAAGCCGAAGATAAACGGAAGATTGAAACTTAATTTTTACAATGATGGCGCATAGCGGAGTACAGTCGCTTTCGTCTACACCATGTTTTACACGATAAAAAGTAAAATCTCTCTAGTATTTCTTTCAACTACATCCTCCGGTGAGATTGTTCTCGGTGTTTTCATTGTGTTAATTACAATGGAAACACCGGGAAATGGTACAACATCATTTACAACGCTCGCGGAGCAACGGTTTCCGGTACGTTTCAGGGTCCTTCGGCGAAAGGACGAAAATAAATCGATTACTCTTATCAACCCCCATATTCTCCATCATACAATTTCAATGTTTTGTTCCTCTTTCTCTATTCCTTTATATATAACTTTACAATCCTACTAGTAGCTTATAGAAAGTGCGTTGATTCTTCAAAAATTTCTCTTCTTTACAATGAAAAATGAAAAAATATCTCGATAAATACCTTGAAAATAAATTACGTTAATCTGCGGGTGTAAGGCAATCCTGACCATTTTTTTTATAAACGACGTACTCTTTGACCTTTTTTTTGTGATTGCGGCTTCGAAGATGCTTTTAGAATACATTATCTTCTTAAAAAAGAATTCGAAGGAAACAAAATCACTTTAAATTGTTTCTGAAACACTGGTGCCGTTTTGCCTTACAATCGCAGATACACAGTCTCACGTAGTTTCCTCGCGTTCACCAATGTTTCTTTTCGTCTTCTTCGTTCTTTCACGATAAAAAAGTTACGAGACTTCATCGTATTATTATTAATTAGGTTTCCTATAATCCTCTAAATTCTCTCCCATTTCGCAAAGAGGCGGGCAAAATTTGTACGACAACGAACGATCGTTGTGATTTACCTAATACGGTGCTCTGCATACTCCGGATCGCAACATTAGGCTCCGCCTCTTAACTACTCTCGATTCGCGCTCTTGCTTCCATCGGCTGTGAGCCAATATTGCATTCCGAAGCATTCCGAGCACTGACCTAATGGAACAAGATATGATGCTTTGTACGCTGTTTTTGAATGTTTCTGCGAAGCACGGATCGAAGTGGGCCTAAGTAAACTTAGTCATCCACAAGGGCCGCTGATTTTTGCTAATTAAATCTTGCCCGTCTCTATCGGTCGTCTGCTTATCGTACAAAGAGGCCATTTTTCAAAGAGACTATTTCCGTCGCTTTTCGAAAAGAAAGTTCGGCTCGCTCCTTTTCTATTTTCCGGTTTCTATTTCAGAGACATATCGACTTTCTAATCGCTTCTCGAAGACTTAACAATAATAAACAGATAATTTAATAGGAACGTGTTTCTTTTATTATCAAAAATTCGTATGACCAGCAATTATTGCCCATACAACGTGTGTCCATGTACCTGTCTGTGTGTATGCGTGTCCGTGTGTAGGTACGTGTTGATGCGTGAACGTCATGTAAAAATTAATCTACGTCGTCGCGATAGGACTGCATACTTGTTTTCCTGCTTTGTTCTTTTTCATCTGTATTATCGGTTTATTAAAATCATCTCCAGTCGTTCCCTCGTTCATTAATTGAAGAAAAAACTTCGGTAAAATTGCACGCTCTATGTTCTAAGATCTATTCATGATTTCCTTTCTCTTCTACGCCGTTTAAGTTTCGTTACGAATATGTTTCTAAATACGCTGGTATCCTGTGTACCGTATACCGTGTGTATAATCAACCTCCTTCTTTCTTTCTCTCTCTCTCTTTCCATTTTGGCTAGACGATGAGCATCGTTGTTCGAAAACGAAAACGAAAACAAAAGCAGAAGAACAGAAAAACACAACGTTCGATCTGCACTCTTCTTCGACGCGTTCGCCGCCGCACTCGCATCGTTCATTTTGATTAAAATCATTTAAATCTAACAGCGCAATTTACAAATTCGATTAAAAATTGATCGTAACCTTTGTTAATCTGTCGATTAAACTCGTTGTTATATAATTTATCACCGCTTTTTGGAGGTTTTTTTTATGCAGAACCACGAAGAACTGCTCCGAAACAACATGGCGGCGGCGAATGCATCAAACCAGATCGAGTTTGATGGAAAGTTTGTACAAAAGGCTCTTACTTCTTGCCTATTATTTCTCTTCATCCCAATCGAGCACGGATGAAAATCTGTACACGTTTTTTTTCACGACTTATACAATACTTATACAAATTTTACGTATTATTCTCCGCCTCGGCGCATCGGTATTAATCTTCATCTGGACACGCGTCTCATAAAAGTCGAGGAAAGCACTCCTGATGATCCGCGAAGCTTTTACTAAAGTATTGGTACACGTGTCCAGGCGAGAATTAATCCGAAAGATGGCGGACACGATTAAGCCGTCAGTCATTCGGAATCAATTTAATTTCTTGTGTAATTTCTTAGGGTCGAACACTTCGTGACAGTTTACCCAGGAAAAATTGAGAAATTTCTTTCCACGTTTCGAAGACCGTTTTAGCTGTGTACGATGACTATACTGCGGATGTTCATGCAAGTACAGGTCTTTCGAAGCCATTTTAGCGAACATAATTTGTTCCTTGCGCCGTTACAGGTTCCATCAACGTTTATATATTTACGCTCGTAATCACCAAGCATCGATTAAAATAAAAACGTTATTAAAGTTTATTAAATTTGTTGCTACACCGAATTTTAGACAATTTTCAGTGTTCCACGAATTGCATAAAATCCGCAATTTAGCGACGACCCTGAAACCTCGACCCTCGAAATCCGACGAAGTATACCTCGTTGTCGTAAAGTTCGCAATCTAACACAGGAAAATCGTGCACAACCGAAATCTCAAGCGATCGGATAGGTCAGGACATGTCAGTTCTCCCATGAGACACAGGAAGACGCTTCCAAGTGTGGTTTTCTTTGTTTTATTAAAATGGAAGCTCCGAATTGTTTCGCTCGCTTAGAATATCAGCTAAGGTCGTGGTGCAATTGCAAGGAGTCAATAGACCATGATGGAATGAACTTCTATGGCAAAACCATCAGTTTTTTTGCGATCCGCAAAGACTCTATAACAAACTGGTACGACTTTTCCGAAGAAAAGAAATTTTCTTGCACATTTACTATCAGACTGCGAATGTTTACTCACACGAAATGTGTGTCAATGAAATGAAAAATTCAATCGAATTAGCTAGACTTTCTATCGTAGTTGCTTAAAAATGTGAACTCGAGCGAACATTCTCAGTCCGAAATTTGATGTGGTTTTTAGGAAAATGGCTCCTTCAGCAATTCCCACAACGCGATTCCTAAACATTACTTAATCACCTATTATTTCGTACTTACAAACGCCACCAACCTACCGGTGCAGATTTCTTAACGTAAATAGGTACGGTACATAAAATGTTTCTTTCTCTACCGTTCGAAGAAAAGGGCTCGAAATTCATTTAACTATAATCATGCTCAATCAAGGTCGTTACTTTCTTCAAAAATAGAAAGGAAGACCGACATTAACAATTTCATTCATAGGAATCGGTAATCTCGAGGTCGATATTATTGCGACCGAAGACATTCAGTAAACGATCGATCATTGAAATTTCGTGGTACAGAGTTTCCATAAAAGTTTGCAGATTGACAGAACACAAATATAACAGAGAAATCTGAGTTGTGATTTTTATTTGATTTTTCTCGGTTAAAATTTCCCGCACTTGAATATCCTAACAGCAACAAATTAACCGCTGTCATTTCGACATTATCAAGCCGTCCCATAGGTATGTTATTTAATAACATACCACGTTGCTTAAATAAAATATCTTTGCATGTACAATTTAAATTTATAAATAACAATTTCCAGATACGCGATCGAAACATAAGTTTTACATAATTTCTCTCGCACGTGTGCATTTCGGAAAATGCAATGAAACAATTTCAATTTCGCTTTCAACCTGGTCAAATTGTGAAAATAATGAGTTTCTTTCCTAGTTTTGTCCAACTATGAATTTTACGAGCATTCGCAACGATAAAAAATTTGTGATCGATAGGGTCGTTATTGTGGTATAAATGAGCACACTTTTCTTCCCGTTTCACAGACGCAAACAACATGATTTGATGGGACGACCTAACACTAGAAATGTACGAAGCGTTACAATTAGCCGTGCATTCTAGTCGCTGAATCGAGCGAAAGTGAGTCGTTCGGTAAAAACACAACGGAGCCCTCGTCTTCGACCCGGAGACATCCTATAATTAATCATTATTTACAAACGTCATCGAAGGTGCCGTCAAATGAAACAAAAAGTTACGAAGATCGTGTGTGTGTGTGTGTGTCGAACAGGCTCGATATACCAAGCGCCCGCTAAATATAATTCCACTACCTCGAAATCATGCTCTAAAGTGGGTAAATTCCAAAAAGTAAAAGAAACTAGAACACGATGAAAACAATACAAAAACAGACTCAAGCATTTTCCGAGTGTTCGTCTCTGCGTTTGTTACAATTCAAGGAAATTAATTGCACTGGCAAGCTGAGAGAAGCATCGCTCACAAGGGAACCTGGATATCCCAAAAATATTTTTGAATTTTGCTGATCAATCGGGAAAAAATTCGCACTGCTATTCTTCAACTCATTAAATGTTAATGTGTGCATTTTTCTCGCGTATCTTGGAAGCTTCGAGACATTGTTATCGAAACATAGAGATTTGAAGCATGTGTTCTGAAGTATGAAGTTTCCAAGATACATCGAACAGTAGCAGAGCGCACGTTAACATTTATGTAAATCTTCTCACACCTTATTTTAATTAGTCTTAAAAGTCGTACATTTTTACGTCATCTTATATTATAATGGCAATGGGTTTGCAGCTGTCAATTAGATAACAATGGTACACATAAATGGAGCGAAACAAAATTTTCCCGACATCTGATCGTTTGTTGAGAATGTAACGAAAGAAATGGTAATTTCCGGGATATTGAGGTTCGCTCGTTACGTCTCAGAAAAAAGTCAAGAGCAATGAAAAAAGTAAATTGACATTTTTGCGCGTCGTTCGTCGTCTTCAAAAAAACGTGACCCGGGGAACACAGAAACAAAATAGATCTCTAGTCTAATCGAAAAATACTGTAGCAGGTATTATGACCACATTAACAGTAAATTAAACGTAATTAGCATATCTTTATTTTTACAAGTTATATCGATAAAAACAGAGAAATCCCCCCGTAAAGAAATGATATCCCACAGACTCTCGACGGAGATTCTCGAGGGGAACTGATCGGAACACGATTCAAACATGCTGGCTCGATCGCTTTGTGATCAGACGCGATTACTAGCGGAGATATCTTTCACGATCAATGGAGTTTATACTGTATAAAAGAATTGTATTTTATTTTTTTGTTTGTTTTAGGGACATCACTGAGCCATTGTCTGTCTTCCCGTGTGCCTAAGGGTGATTCGTTTTGTAAAACAGTGATTTTCATTCGTTATCCTTTTCCCATTTTTTTTTTGGTATCGTACTGTTAGTACAACAAAATCATTCGGGCGTTATTTCGTCGCAACGATTCGAAGACCGATGATCTATAATTCTATAGAAATGAGAAACTGGTCCGATATCGCGGAAACAAAGATCAGCTTAAGACGATAATGATATCATCCGAGGAACAGGATATTTAAGATCGAATGAATCCTCGATCATTGTCGACTTCACGATTTCATCGACCAATCGAATTCTTGTTTCCTTTTTTACCAATTATCAATAATATTTCTTATTATTTGTTACAAACCGAGTCGATCTTTGATTCCATCTTTTCTATCTCTTTACTCGTATCTTCATTCTTTTTCTCTTTTTTTTCTCCTTTTAATTAATATTTTATTCAAAGTAGATTTCAGCGACGCGCATCGTCGCTCCTAACAAGTGGGGATATAAAAATTAATCGTATGTATATGTATAGATAATCTAGCCAGCTAATTGCCGTTTACAAACTAGCAACTATTTTAGTTAACTGATATTCAATATAGTTCACGGTCTTAAAATTATAAAACAGATTAGTCTGCCCGTCGATATTCACTATTAATTATTGCAGCTCCGGTGAGATAGAAATTCTTCGTCGCGTGGGCGTTGCTTCTGTTGTCGAATTTTTCCTTTTTATTTGTTTCCTTCTTCCTTTCGTTTCCTCTCTCTCCATTCCTATTTTTCATTGATGCTTTCTTCTATTTAACCGTGGTCGTTTTTTCTTTGCAAGTAAATCCAAATAGATTTCCTGTTAATTTTTCTTCCCGTATATTCTGATCCCGAATGACTGGACGGAAGAGGGCCTGCAAATATCGCGATGTCGTTTTCGCGCCACGACTTCCGCCAACAAAATCTTTGATCTCCCTCGGCTACCGTGCACCGAATTGGCAAAAGGAAAGAACATGACCGAAGCGTAACACAAAATTAATACTAGCTCCTATCCTTCCTCTTCGCATCTCCGCAAGAAGGTCGGATTAGAAAGGGCCGAGGTTCGAGCGTTCCTGACGCAAGTCATTTATTCGTCGATTCGCCCAGATGACAATTACAATAGCCAATTAAATGGGCCTCAAAACTAGAACGAACCGCGAACACCCGGACGGCGAGCTATTTCCGGTTTCGTCGAATATAAAATAAGAGAGAGACACCGCGTTCTTCTCGTATCAACTCGGCCGGTGAAAATCAATTGGAAGAGGCTACTAATTAGTTAGAATGAACGGGGATCGATCAGCCAATCCGATGTCGAACGTTGTCTAAGTAATGAAACGTGTCTATCTCGAGTGAGAAAATATAAAAAGGATATCTTGTCCATGATTTTCTGTGCTCTAATAAATCTCAACCTCTCTTTCCTCGTTCTCTTTACTTATTTTTCTTCGTTTGCTTTTCTCCGAGCGATTTTCTTTTATACGAGCCGCACTCTTCCGAGTCACGTGTGTCTTCGTGCATAATTACTCGCGGAAAATATCGCTAAGTCTCTTTTCTGATATACCCTTTTTTTCTCGATGCGTTTCAGTTTTTCAGATGTATGTATATATTTATATATATAATATTTATATATAATATAATCGACTGTGTTTTTGTGTGTGAGTGTGTCCTGTATGTCACACCGATTATATATAATCCTCTCCTGTCGGAACCTGAATCTCTTCACGAAAAGCGTGCCTCACCAGTCACACTCCGGAAACTCGCAGCATATCTCTCTCGTTCTCTCCCTCTCTCTCCCCTTGGACACCACGCTCGCCTACAATACTCTCGCACGCGCATCCGTCTGTTTGTCTCTGAATGTTAACTCTAGGGATGTGTTTCGATTTTTGTTGTGGTTTCATCAGCGTCGTTCATCTCGTTACAAAAAGGTTAAAAAATTAACCCCTTTACCAGCTCCTGAAAGGTATTCTCTAGCTGAATCATTTAGAGTCTGGGAACGTCACCTGACACTTGTAGACTTCTTCGAGCATTACCGCTTGCCCTTGTCCTTGGCTGACGGTGACTGGAGTCGTGGTGTTCACAACGACCACCTGTTGACCTTGCTGCTGTTGCTGCTGCTGGGGCTGCTGTTGTTGCTGCTGGTTGCTCGCATTCGGTTGCTGTGCGTTTGTTGGATTGTTCGCGTTCTGATTCCGGGCTGTTTGTCCGTACTTTTCATGGATAGCACGGTGACGCTTCAGTGCAAAACGATCGGAAAATCCGATCTCACATATATCACATCTAGAACAAGTAACAAAGTCAGCATTGTCTTCTGTAAAGTAAATACAATTATTTATTTCAATAGATACAGACTTTTGTCGCCGATCATTTGAGACTATGGAACCGTTTTCTACAACCACATTTGAATATAGTATAGTATGACTTCTTCTTCTCTTAATGAACTTCACTTTTTAGGGAAGGAAAGAAGTTTCAACTTCCTACATTACATATAATGGGAACTGAAAGTATTGTATTAAAAGCTTTTTGTTTACAAACTCGAAATCTGATAAAGACCCGCTATTAAAATTTTTTGATATGAAATGCCTTCCCTTTCTCTTCATCTAAACACAATTTCAGTTCATTCTGATGCGGAGGTTATACCATACTATATCCAAACATTTGTATAACGTTCATAGATAAAGTCAAACAATTCTACATTTGCCTCTGTTTGAAAATTAGTTATTTAAAGAATGTGATGAATATGGTAATGGACAGTGCGATTACAGCAAATCCACTACCTGTGGGGCTTTTCACCGGTGTGGACCTTCGCGTGATTCTTCAGATGTGTAGCTTGATTAAAGGCCGAGCCACATATACTACATTTATAAGGTTTTTCGCCTGTGTGGATCCTCCTGTGATTCCAGAGGGTCGAATGTCTGGCAAATGTTTTTTCACACACTTCACACTGATAAGGACGTTCACCAGAATGAATTCTTTCGTGGTTCTTTAAATGAGGACTTTGCGAGAACTGCATGCCACAGACACTGCATTTGAATGGCTTTTCGCCGGTATGCACCCTTCCGTGATTCTTCAGATAAGCGGCTGCGGAGGATAGAAAAACGAAGACGTAACGTTATTAAACTTGTGTATGTTTTAGCGGGTTTTAGGATTCGAGAATCGTGTTAGCGAATTTTGTGCGCGGTCACCTTTTGCAAATGCCAAGCCGCAAATATCACACTTGAAAGGTTTGTCTCCAGAATGCAGTCTCTTATGGGACCAAAGCGACGAGTACCGGGAGAATGTTCCATCGCACACATTACAATGAAACGGTTTCTCTGCCTGATTTTGACTGTTTTGTTTCCCACCTGTAATTAAAGAAGCAACCGGGTTCTTAGTATTCCTCGAAGGGCCAGTTCTACAACAAGGTATGCTCTTTAGATGATCTGATGAATGCATCGGGCAACGCAAGACAAAGGATTGTGTATGGTTTTTTTTGTTCGAAAGATTCTTTCTCAACATATCGTTTATCAATGAAAGTCTTTTAATTTTTTTTTCTTTATTTTTAAAAAGAGAATGACGTTGATTGAGTATCCGTACATGCGGGTAGTTAGAGTTAGTGCAGAAAATAGGAAATGAGTAAGTACATGTATACAATGAAATAAAAGATGCATTGAGTGGTAAAATGATATTCAAAAAGAACTTTCCGAATACTAAAACCGCTCTAAATGATCGATAGATTAAGTTTATAAAACTGTCCCTTAGGGGAGATCTCATTCCATGCAGTGATTCTTAAATTTAGATATCAACGGTTTTACCAAAAAGGAAACAGAATTGTTACAGTAAATTCAAAAATCCATCCGTGAATTTCAAGTGTTCGTTAAATCTTTCTTTTTCTCGTTGCATGCAAATTATGTTCTTAAAAGAAACTCACTAAATTTCCCACTTATATATGTGTTAAAGGTAAACTGGTTCATTTTATTCAACGAATACGACGAACTCAAGGTTCGCACAACGAATTACTGTTTGTTGAACAAAATAGCAAAGAAAACATGAAAATCTTCGAAACAGTTTTGGTAACACATATCCACCAGCTGGTGGTTCCTCTTGATACATATTCTGTAATGTTAATCCCGTGTTCTTTTTGGCTGTAAATATTCCGACTTACTTCCTATGATGATGCGGCCTGTTGCCTTGCAGGCGCCACACTTTGCGAGGGAACTGATTCCAGAATCTAGTTTATCGTCGTCTTTACCTACCATACACCACCCGATGTACGATCATGATAGCAATGAAATGATGCAAGTAGAGGAAAGATGATTGTGTTACAAGAAGAAAAATGTTTCCTTTTCAATTTATCAGAACTTTTTGCTACACCAAACAGTTTATGTTCAAATAAAGGCAATCTGGAGCTTTGTATTTGGCAACGAACACTTTTCTTCTTGCCGCGAAAAGCTTAGCGATAACGACTTCAACTTACCAATAAAAATTATTCCTGTGCCATTACACTTATGACATTTAGTCACACTGGTAACACCCCTTCGTTTCACCGGATGATGACCAGGTTTAATAGCTATAAAAATAATGTAGACACCATTTTTTACATCGGACTTGTTCCAAGTATTCAAAGCAAGACATAATAGTATTTTTGAAACGTACTCTTTTTAATTTTAGTGGGATGATGTTCACAGGGGTCCTCACTACCACAATCTTCACAAATCTGCACCTTCGGTTTTTGATGCATGTTTGTTTTATGGCTTTTCAATTCTCCTGGTAGTGCGAAGCAGGCTCCACATATATCACAGGTATATGGTCTCTCTGGTGTGGTGGCAACAGTAACGGTTGTTGGTGTTTGTACAACGACTTGTTGTGGTTGTTGTTGAAGATTACTAGGCGTTGTGTTATGAATCCGTTTGTGGTGATTCAGTAAGCTCATGTGTCCAAACACGAGGCCACAGATGTCACACTTGAAGGTAGCATTGGTGGCAGCCGCGATACTCATCTGATTCAACAATGTGTTGTACCCAACAGGTTGCACGTCAAAACGATAGCAACCTTTGTCGTCGGTAGTAATTGCGCCAATTGTGCCCACATTTGTTTGAACCTTCTGGAGCATGTTGACATTGTAGTAGAAGGGAAACTCTGCAGTAGCTGACTGCTGCTGAGATTTGTCCTCCTTCTTGTCAGTCGTGACATACATCTGCTGTGACTGCTGCTGCTGCGACTGTTGACCCTGAGCAGCCTGCTGCTGCTGCATTTGTTGTGGGTCAAACATTGCTGCTTGCTGCTGTAAAGTGAATTTCCAATGATAAATCTTCATACTGTTATGTTTATCATATTTTGCATGAAATATGTTTATTAAAGCTTCAATGAAAGTTTGAATAATTAACAACCTGTCTTTGATCTCCGTAGCTTGAATTGCTCTGCTCCGTCTGAGTAAAACTATTAGTTTGCTCGGTTTGAGTAAACATGGAACACTTCACTGGCTGCTCGATCGGTTGGCTCTGTTAAATCATAATTACCATTAGATACATAGTTTCACATAAAGCTCAATTTCGAAAAGAACTAGAAATTAGAAGCTAGAAAAGCTTTGCCTCAATCAACATGCTACACACGCTGATATACGTTATCAAGCGTCAACAGAAAAATCCTCATTTCCTCTTTACATCGTTGTGGTATACAAGGTGCATACCTGTTGTATTTGATCAGGACGGGTTGTGTTCAACCACACCACGTTGTTGCCATTTGATTCTAGGGCCATTGATGTGTTGCCTTTGACCCTGCACAATCAGTAGGCATTCGTTAAGCAGAAATAAACCCTGATACGTGTCTGCTCCGACTGCCCCCCTGATCAAAGCCACACCAAGGTAGAAAGGAATGACTTTACCAATAAATCAGAAATTAGAAGATGGTTTAAGAGAAACGAGAAGGGACGGCTTCAAAACAATAACCATGACGACATACGATACTCACATGTGATAGTCTACACGGGCGCCGCGGGTTACATGTCTGACTGCCAAACGGGTGATCTTCCAGTTGCCATGACTGCGGCGCGGAGTGCCGCGCAGCTGGTCACACTAAATCCCGCTGATCCCGATACCACCGACAACTGGTTTCGGTCTATCGTCCTATACAACATCCGAGAACGGGTACCTCGTGTCGGTTGGGCCGTGGTCGCGGCGGAAAATCAATGGCGATCGATTTCGAGCCTCGATGCACCACCTCAGTACGTTCGATCCCGCTAAAATGAACCCCGGTCACAACACCACCGATACCTCACCCCTTGTGGATGCCGCGAAATCCGCTTCGTATTACACGTTTGTCAATGAGCAGCGTTGGCCCGCGCAGATCATGTCGTCCAAGCGCGGTGGCGGCTGCGGTGACTGGTGTACGAAGCGCGGGTACCTTCGGTCGCATAAAATTGGCGGTAGCTCGCGGGTCACGACTTCTCACCGTTTTATTCCCGTCAGGTTGGGCCACGTCGCCTTCCACCGTGGCTCAGGCTAGGCCGTAGCGCGAACAAGCAGACCGAGCACCGTCAACAAACTCTACGGTAGCCATTACACGCGACGAGGATAACAATGGGCGACACGAACGCGCGCTGCCCCCGATGCCTTTTTCCGAAGCGTTTTCGGGCGCCTTCCGTGAATGCAGCCAAGCGCCGCCAAGGTCAGCACCCGGTGACGCCAATGCCCGTTACACCAATGGCTTCCATTGGCCCGCGACCAACTGTCGCCGGTTCTCATTGGTTCACCCAAACAACGCGTGCGGAACTTCCAAACGATTATTTACCTTTCTCTAAGAAAATATCCTGTAATTCCTTTTTCTTTTGACACCACGAGGCTGCTCCTTGATTTTTTGATCATAGAGCAGTGTTGGGTTTACAGGATGTGGTTATGACTATGAGAAATGTCAATTACAGGAATTATTTGAAAAGAGGCACTGAAGCGATTAGAACGAATGATGTTATTCAAGCGGGAATAATTGTTTCCGCTCAGGTAGAATGTTTATGGATTCGTGGTGTTAATGATAATGTGATGTCATTTTTTGCGGCGATAACAAACGTATGTAGTTGACGTGGAAATCTGACTTCAGTGTATTCGTTGATGCGTGATTGGACGAGTTGACGTTAGATGGAGCTAGTGATTAGGTGAACGAGGTTTGAACGGTTATCCAAACGGTTCAATTTAACTGTGTAGAGTAGCTTGTATTTTAGCGAGGAAAATAATCGTATTTACGTTAGCATTTGCAGTTGGCTTAAGATGGGCTTTGTGACTCTGGCTAATAATCTGTAGTAAGTCATGGAAATCTTAGACACAGAACGCTTTACAGAAAGCGTTTTCAAAGAATCGTTACAATCGTCTAACTTTTTATTGTTAGTTACATCAATTCAAAGGTTTCAACTCTTCGAGGTTAATAAAGGTTTTGCAGCATTTTTTAAACCTGACTTTGTGAAAGGTGAAAGTAAAAATGTTAAAATACTCACGATCTTTATTTGAATTGGAAGTACTGTTCCAACAAAAAATATAATGACGCAACCGTCATTTTCAAAATGGTGACGACTTCCGGCTCCATTTTGATCATACTGCGTACTCACAATTTCAAAGCTATATCATCTATTCGCTAAAAAAAACTTTAAGAATAAATTATTATGAACAAGGTATACCATTACAAAAATTTGTTATCACTTTTATAAATAAATTTAAATGTCCGTATTTATTTAAATAAATTTATGCAGTTGCAGCATCATAGACAAACATGGATTTTCGAATATTCTTCCACATCATGGAAAACTAAATTAAAAAGATTTGGATGAAGCCGACACAGTTCCGAAATGAAAGCATTCGAACAAAGAAAAATCTGCGAAACGCTTCCTGTGGTGAGTCAATAATTGTCGCGCACAGCTGGAAGCTATTTTCGTTGCGGAATCCTTTTCTTTTTTCATTAAGTTTTTCGCAAAACAGCGTTTTCTGTTGCGATATACTTTTTCAACCATTTAATGGAAAAGCAGTCAAATCCATTTCTCGCAAGTTTATGTATTTTTACTTTTGTAACGATCACAGGTCATATTTTTTAAACGCTTAAATTAAATTGACAATAAATGCAGTTATAAATTAAATATTTAGATCCTGATCAAATTGTTATGTATAATTACAGAAATTATAATTATTTAATAATTCTATTATCATGTACAGATACGATGATCATCAATATTAGTGGGCTCTGAATCATATTTCCGTTTACACTGTGTTCGACAATGAATTACTATACTGGCAATTTTCCTCTTGGCAAAATCATCTTTCGGCCGTTGGTTTCCCGAAAATGCGGAACAGCGTAGGAGGATGCGATCCGGACAATTAAAAGCAAAGACTGCAGGATGCTATCGAGCATTCCCTGTGCTATTATGCCCTCGACTGGCGTCGTCAACAGCTACGATTAACCGTAACTGCTAGACGGAGGACGACTCGGTCGACCTCGTAACTTTCAGAAATAACTGTCCCATCAGTCGCGCTCGTCTGATATACTTTGAATCGGAGTTCTGAGAACGAGGATAATCCTAAACGTCTCGTGTTATTAATATGCCTTCAATAACTTCGTGAACTGTGGTTGTTGGATGCTAATTTTACGGAAGAAAGATAAAACTAGAATAATATCGCTTGTGCTGAATAAGTTCGCTTCAGGCGAGCTCTTTTCATTCATAAGATGTTAATTAAGAAAACCTGTTATCTATGATATGAATGCTATCAGAATTTAGAGACTGTATCGTATCAGAAAGAAGCTTAATCATTTTTTAAATGGTGATCTCAAGAGAAGTTGTTAGATTATATTATAAAAGATAACTTGTTCCTTCAAAAATGAAGTTATTATCAACATTGAACAATTTATTGAAAATCTTCATTAGTTTATTTCTCATTTTTAGGAATTGTTAGTATCTTCAATTATCTCAGTATCAGAACTTTAAGATGTTCTTGTAGATGAATAATAATAATTAGGATGCTGAGTAAAACCCTCCTTCAAGTTGTTGTAGTTATTTATAAGCGTTGAAGTAACTACTGAAGATTCCTCAATATTTTCTATATCAAAAGATGTTGTTTTAGATTCGTGACAATCGTTCAATCTTACAAAGTTTTTACAACTGCTTGTTTTATAAGGGCACTGGGGTTGAAAAAATTATACGGCCCTGGAAGTCATAGCGCCGGTTTCAAAACGCCTTGGCGCCGGCAGCGAACCAATTCAGTCAGTTGGCGTCGCGACGCCGCCGCTAAAGGTCTCCGAGCGTCACGTCGTGGTACTACCTCCAAGTTTCGTTCTGCTGACAGGGGCAGAGATAACTGTTGTAAAAAGACGCAGTGCATGCAATCAGTGACCACAGACTGTGTCAGCAGTCTTTACTGAGTGTTTCATCACAAACATTGAAGAACAAGAAACTCTTAAAAAGGACATCTCATCACTTAAATACTTCAGCATAGACACCAGGAATATTCAAAGTGAAAATAAATTTAATTGAGCACTCTAATGCTGCGAATAACGATCGTATCAATATCGTGGACGCCTCAGGAATGCCCTAATTTTTTCCTATCTAGTTGACCTATTAATTCCAAGTAGGGCAGTCCAAGCTAAGAGAACTTGGTCCAGATGATCCAACGAAGGGCGCAAATAATTATGAGAAACGTGATCCAGGCACCAGTTAGAATCAAATGACGAAGAAGCTCGGTGGTTCCTTGGATCATCGTTATACAAGAGCAAATACCCTGTCCATGAAGTTTACTATTACTTCCTGTTAATATGAAAGAATAGGATGAATATAGAGTCCAAAGTAGAAAGATCTTGAAATTTCGGAACTCTGGGACATTTAAAGTGCAGGATCAAGTTCTAAGACGATTCGGGGTCAGCTACACGAAAGCACTACGCCTTGGCTTCCAAAAGCTTCCATCAATCTTGGCAAGTTCCCATTGAGAGAGGAACTGAAGGAATCCTCTAGGAAGCATCGACTGACATTAGCTGAAAAAGCGGAGTTTCTTTATCCGAATTTAACTGGCTTCGAGCCGGAGTAACGCTTCACCCAAACAACTCAGTTTAATCATTCGATCGATTGTCGTCTTTTCTAAAACCTCCCCTAAAAGCATCTCTGCGGATCGCTTCGTATTTAGACAAAATCTGAAATCGCTGAAGGCAATTTTCTAGTATCGCACAAGACTTTGCAGAGCCCGCAGGGGAGCACTCGACCCCTAAACCCGTCGACACGTTCGCTCAATCTATTTATTGCGAAGATGCACCCGAGGTCGCTGAACCGCGGGATGTTATTCGAATAATTTTAGACAGAGTCAAAATCGAAAATCGAGAAGCTTTGACGCACGTGCTTCTCTCGCGTGCAATCCTTCTGATGTATCCCCTAATGAATAGTTTCCGTGTTCTGATCAGAAGGGTCGCGGCTACGAAGGCGACAGTGTGATAGATGCCAGAATTCTCGAAGTTCGAACAGCCGGTCGGTAGACTATCTGATGACGGCGTGATGAATGAACCCTCGGCCACCCGAGAACATCCCACTGACCCGTGACCGATTGTCGGGTGACCCGATTATCTGCCATAAACTCCGCGCTGGAATCCCGACGGCGACCAATTTTGTTGCCTATTTATATTGTGGTCGCGTGTATTCCTGGATCCTCGAGACATCCAGAAATCAAAATCTTTTTCTGTTCGGCGAGGCTCCTTCGGACGCGTTGGGAATATGTGATGTACATTGATGATGCTGTGCAAGCCTGTGTTAGTTTAGTGCTGCTGGAGGATCTGAGGAGCAGCATCGTCGGTGCAGTTGAACTTTCCACAAGTCGACGGAAAAGGGACAAGGATTAGATTACTGCAGACTTAGGCAGTGAAGCTGAAAACTCTGGTAGCTGCTCTGAGAAAGAGAAGAAAGTTAGCTTCCTTCCTCCGAAGTGCTATCCAGTAGTCATTTCGTCTTCTACTGTGATAGTTTCAGTGAGGAATTAGGAACGTTAAGTATCATATACAGGACATTTCATTGCCAACTGTAAAAGACAATCTGCATCTTAATTCCAAGGCAAATAGAGGTTGTAATAGAAGTATCTCTAGAGATTCTCTAGAGCTTCTCTCGTGATTTATTACACCCGCGAAAGTCGACTTGCTGCCATTAGCACCCCTAAGTGGAGGACTTTAAGGAGAGAAAATATCACTGACCCAGCGTGGAGCTTCCCTCTTGGGATCCTTCGTTGCTCAGTTAAGTGGATTATGTGAAGCCGTAAGCAGGACTCGCCATCTAGGTCGCTAGAAAGTGATTATAAATTTAAAAAAAGGAAAATCGATTAAAGAAAGAAGATGTCGAGCTCTCCAGGTGCCCGGAAGGGTCCTCCAAGGCCGACGATCCAGCTTCCGCTGCCAGGACAATACTACTCGCAAACATATGTGCCGACACCTTATGGTCAGACCCCGATACCGATGACCCCGGTTTCGGGTCAGCCACAGGTGATCTATGCGAACAAAGCCAGCGAGTTCATGTTTTCACAGTTCAAGGGTATCAAGCACTTGACCAAGTCTGGGCTGAGCGTTGGGGAGAAGAGCGCCTTCTGGCTATACGAGAAGGTCCGACGAACATTCCAAAATAATCAGTTTTGCGCCCTGATCAGATCGAGCTAATTGCTGACGCGTTTATGATTTTTGTGCGTAGGTCAGTTCCTGGAGCAAACGATGGTTCACGCACATTTTCTTATTTGTTGTCGTGCTTTTGTACAGTATCGGGGGTGCGATGATCTTCGTGACGATCGAGGGAACCAACGAGGATGTCGTGCACACTAATATAAGAAAGGAGAGGTGAGAAATGGTCATTGTGAAACCATGTCCTAGATTATCAAGCAGCCGTTGAGTGTTATCGCACTATCCGTAAATTGAAATGCATTTTGATCTGCATTATAGGTACAGACTTTAGCTTCTTTGTTGACCGCTGGATGCTAGCTTGATCGCCATTTTAGTTCCGGGGCTAAATGCGATATTAAAAGTGTCTATCTTTAGAGTATATTTTTTTAAGTTTTATAATTTTTTATTGCTAGATTTTTATGCGAAATGAAAATTGTATGTATGATATTTATTTCTTTTCTTGGTAGTTCTAGTTAGTCAAAAATTGTAGAGCAACATTTTTAAACTCTCTAATCAAATTCACAAATTTTGGTTGCGTATTGAGAAACAGCGTTTGTAAATTATGATGCACTGTATTCTTTAACATAGGCACAAACTCTTAGCCAGCATTTTTGTTGAATGCTGAATAGGGTGCTGTATATATTTACGCTATTTTGGTTTCAGAGCTTAAATTCTAAAATTCTAAAATTTCTATTTCTAAAATTGTTTAGCTTTAGAAGTACGATTATTATGTATTATGTTTATTGTTATTCAAGTATGCGGGACATTTTTCTGTATATTCTTGTCCAGATTTCATAGCCTTTCATTGCTAGATTGCAGATTTTTATGCAAAATAAGAATTGTATGCATTCATTGCAAGGTTCGAAAACTACATACACATTTATTCTACTTCTGAACAATTTTATTAAGTTGAAAATAATATAACAGTATTTTTAGATTCACTAGTAAATGGTTCAGGGTAGACATTTTTGTTCTTTTATACGTTGGAATCAATGACCACTTTCTGTAAAATGGATGATGATCCTGACAGATCTAGAACGTTCCACGGTTTGTTATTTTTGATTCGAAACACACAAACTTCTCGGTGCTCTGTCAGTCTGTCGGCAATTCCGTTTCGTCTGAGATAGGATTATTAGTTTATGCAATAACGCTCGATTCCATACTCCGATGTTCCCGACCTTCGTCTCCATGAAAATGGCCTCTAGATGCAGGTGTATACGTGACCCTGTTGTGTACGATATCAATCGCATCTCGAAGTAAATGAACATGTATAGAAACTAACATCGCGACACCTCGAGAAACATCACGATTATAATTTTCAACGATGAGCAATTAATCACACGCGGCCCGAGGCTCATCGACTTTATTAAGTAATTATGGATTCGCTTAAACAGAAATCTAATTTGATGGCGGCGATCTGTGTAGATCACTATACGAGATTGAAATATCTAAAAGTGATAAAGAGATTTAGTGCTAATTATTGTTTGTTTGAAACTTTTATTCTTCGAATTCAAGGAAAAGTGAATTAATGATATTATTCATTTAAAAAAGTCGTATTAAAATGAATATTTTTAGTCTAATCAGATCTTAGCACTGGAACTCATGTTTACATACTTTAATGCGTACGTTTCAACTGCTAAGTAGTCCGATTCTTAATCTGATGGTACAGTCGACACGCAAGCAGGTTTGAAATTGCCACGATTATGTTCCACGGTGACAGAGAATATCCACCTTGTTTTGAATTTCAGCGTCGAATTATTAAAATACATCTGTATAAAATATTATGAAGAGTTTTCATAATATCTCTTTTGTATTTCAACGCCTCAATACCCATCGTTATGAAACATTAGATATTAACATTCAGGGAATTTTTCATTATTGAAATTTCAGCAACTGTATTTCCATGAGTGAAAATGTGACAAATTGGAAAGACATGAATGATACGTACATTTTTATGAAAAATATTTGTATCGTTCACTTCTTCTGAAAAATGTTTCGAAATATTTTTCTCATTTTTAAAATTTTTATGAGTGTGCAAATATTAAGCTGTACGAGTTTTTACCATGTGTCAAAACAATAATGTCAAAAGTTAACAGTATCTTCCAGCAAATGAGTAGTAAC